CTACGACTACTACTACTACTACTACTACTACTACTACTACGACTACGACTACGACTACGACTACGACTACGACTACGACTACGACTACGACTACGACTACGACTACGACTACGACTACGACTACGACTACGACTACGACTACGACTACGACTACGACTACGACTACTACTACTACTACTACTACTACTACTACTACGACTACTACTACTACTACAAGAATAACCACCCGGACCCGTGAAGCCGGTTAGCAAACGCGCCCAAAAGGAGGTCCAGGCCGTGGAATAAACGCCTGGGGCCCTTCAGTAAACGCCCATTGTCGAGTCCGGGTGGTTTTTTCGTCCCTTGATGGACCCCCGGCCAGCGGGGAGTGAAACCGCCTCAGGGGTAGGGAATCGCAAGTGGTCGCAGAGGGCGAGTGGCGGGCGGACGGACGGAGGGTCTGCGGACGCCCAGCGACGGGCGGCGACGTGCGGCGACGACGACGACGACGACGACGACGACGACGACGACGACGACTGCGACTACGACGACGGCGATTACGACGACGACGACGACGAGCGGCGAGAACATGCGGCGACGGTGCGGGCCTCGCCCCGCATGGTCGGCCAGCTGGTTGGGGGCGCCACAGCTCCTGGAGGGGGTGAGGAGAGCTTCTCCTCCTCCTTCTCCTCCTCCTCGTCGCCCTCCTCCTCCTCCTCCTCCTCCTCCACCTCCTCTTCCTCATCGTCGGCCTCCTCCTCCTCCTCCTCCTCCTCTTCATCCTCCTCCTCCTCCTCGCCATTCTTCCCTTCCGCCTCCTCCTCATCCTCCTCCTGCCCCTACTCCTCCTCCTCCTCCTCCTCCTCTGTCTCCTCCGTCTCCTCCTCCTCCTCCTCCTCCTCCTCCTCCTCCTCCTCCTCAACAATTACTCAATATGCATACTACTCTCCCTCTTCCCCTGATGACGGCCTAGGAGTGTCCGACCCCCCCGCGCGTACTGTTTTTGTTACACACAGGTTTCCCCGGAGTTGGGTTTTCGCCTGCATTTGATTCCAAAATGCTGCTCTCGCTGAGGCGCCGGCCTCATTTTCGGGCCCCGCTCGTTCCGAATCGTGCTCCCGCTGCAGCGCTGGCCTCATTTTCGTGCTTCCGCTCGTTCCGAATCGTGCTCCCGCTGCAGCGCTGGCCTCATTTCCGCGCTTCCGCTCGTTTCGACTCGTGCTCCCGCTGCAGCGCTGGCGTCATTTCCCGTGCCATGCCACGGCATGCAATGCAATGCTAGGTTGATACTACGCTTTGCGGTGCTCTTCTACGCCATGCCATGCCGTGCTCTACAATGCATCGCGTACCCTTTCGGGATCATTGCCCTGCTCGACATCCGACTGTGCGAGTAGAGAGGGGATCTGCGCCATGGTAAGGGATGGGAGGGAGGGGTAGGATGTCAGATATGACGCGAGCGCACCTAGCTTGTCCTTCTCACCCTCCTCTGGATCCCAGGGCCGGGAGCCTGGGTGCTGTGGTGCCCCTCTCTGCACTCACGAAGGCACCCCAGAGCGCCCGCGAACCCCCGGAGAACGCTTCGGTGGCAACTCACGCGAGCCTCCCATACCATCTTGTCGGCTCTTGTTGGCGGCGCGCACGGGGGGTGGAAGGATGGGGGAGGGCTCCTTAGAAGGAGGCTGTTTCTTAGAAGGCGCCGTCCTTACACCTATAGAGAAGGCCCGCGCCTTCTAAGAAGCAGGGGTGCTTCTAAGAAGCCCTCCCTCCACCCCTCACCCCCCTCTGCGCGTGGCCGACATACCATCTTGTCGGCTATTGCGAATCGACGCTAGTCGACTCTACATCGACGAAAAGACAGAATTGCGAGGGTACACAAGTCGGGGGAGCGCAAAACATGGATTAGCGATACATGGATGTGGCGCGCGGTCGCCAAATCCATGAACGGGGGAGGTGCCTGCCCCAAAGTGCGGCTGGTGCCGCCTCGTTCGGCGGCGGAAATCCGCGACTTCCCATGGAAACGGGACCCGTCGCTAATCCGCGCCCCCTTGATCCATCTTTGCGATCGCCTGAAAGAGCCCCACCCCTGGACGAATAGGACCAAGGAAAGGCGACACCAGCACTACCAACAGGCCGAGAAGCGAGGGGGAGGCATCCTGCTAGGGGTTGACCTCGTACGCCCTCCTCGCTCGAGAACTCTCACCTCCTCCTCCTCCTCCTCCTCCTCCTTCTCCTCCTCCACCTCGTCTTCCTTTTCGTCCTCCACCTCCACCTCCACCTCCAACTCCTCATCCAACTCCTCCTCCTCCTCCTGCTCCTCCTCCTCCTCCTCCTACTCCTCCTCCTCCCCCGTTCGGGGAGGCATCGTTCGAAGCAGGGCCGGTTGGGACAACGGCGGCTCTCGACGTCCGACTACCGGTGTCTCAACTCGCCCGCCTTTGAATTGTGGACCTCCTCGCTGGCGGTGGCCCACCAGGCCTCAGTGATGTCGCTCCATCTCTCCTCCGAGAACTGAGCAGGGACCCATCACCCCGACATTCTTATAGGCCTACCACGACATGTTCTTAGAACAAAAGAGCGTCCGAGAAAAACACAAAACAGTGTGTTTAGATCACGTAGTCTCAGGTACTAAAACCAAGACGGTCTCAATCAAACATGCTCTGAGAACATTCCGGGAACACCACAGAAGGCTCTGAGAACCACAGCAGGAAAATCAAACATCGAATCGACCAGTCGGATCGGCTATCGACAGACATCGGATCCGCGGAAATCGGCCGAATCGGGAGCTGTCGAATCGGCGAAACATCTCCAGGCACAGGTCTGAGCTGAGAAATCGGAACCCACATCGGAATCCCCAATCGACTCGAATCGGAATGGGAAGCCATCGAGAGATCGAGCCGAATCGAACCGAACCGGAGTCGAAATGAGCCCTGCACAGGGTGGGCCCGTGCAGTCAACCCGTATCATAAGGATGCGCGCTAGGGATGCGAGGGCCTTGGAAGGCCACGATGACACCTTGTGAGCGGGGCGCGGCCGGCGAAAGCGGCCGAGGATGGGCCGAAGGGGCCAGGATGCCAGAGGGACTCTTGGGAAGGCTGTCCATCCTTGTTATGGCAAGTTCGCGGAGTGCCGACTTCGGCGCTGGCTCTCAATATGAATCCTTTTGTAGAGGCTCTCAACAGGAGTCCTTTTGTAGAGGCTTTCAATAGGAATTCTTTCGTAGAGGCTCTCACTAGGAAATCTCTCGTAGAGGCTCTTATTAGGAATCCTTGTGTGGAGGCTCTCAATAGGAATCCTTTCCTGACACCGCGGGGATCGTTCAACCTTGAACGATTGGCCGCTTCCCGAAACGTCCACATCGAACGAGTCTGGGTCGCCCGCAGCGTTCAGCGTGGAACGCCGCTGGCGGGGTCACCGCCGGACGGCACGACGCGAACCTACCTCACGCGGTCTGACTGCAGGCGCGTCCTTCTACAGGCAGATTGGGGCGACAAGACAAAATACTGAAGCATGCCCTCGAATAGTCAAACACATAATAAAACAAAAACCTCCCCATACTATTGTTTTGACCTTCTCGAAATATATTCCTCCTGTAGAGGGACAGGCCTCTACATGAACCTGCCGTATGCGGCTTGACTGCAGCAGGCAGGCTGAGACGTCTCGCCACTGGAGGAGGAGGAGGAGGAGGAGGAGGAAGAGGAGGAGAAGGAGGAGGAGGAGGAGGAGGAAGAGGAGGACGAGGAGGAGGAGGAGGAGGAGGAGGAGCAGGCAGTCTGCCTGCGAGAAGCGGACCTCGACGCGGCGCCGCCTCCTCGCCCGGCCCGCCGCGCGCCCCCCGCCGGGCCCCCGTGGCTGGCCGCTTCGCCCCTGGGGGCTGCGGGTCCCGCGGGAAAAGCGGTATCCTGGACCCCATGGCGAGCGAGGAGGAGCGAGGAGGAGCAGCATGCCCTCGAATAGTCAAACACATTATAAAACAAAAACCTCCCCATACTATTGTTTTGACCTTCTCGAAATATATTCCTCCTGTAGAGGGACAGGCCTCTACATGAACCTGCCGTATGCGGCTTGACTGCAGCAGGCAGGCTGAGACGTCTCGCCACTGGAGGAGGAGGAGGAGGAGGAGGAGGAAGAGGAGGAGAAGGAGGAGGAGGAGGAGGAAGAGGAGGACGAGGAGGAGGAGGAGGAGGAGGAGGAGCAGGCAGTCTGCCTGCGAGAAGCGGACCTCGACGCGGCGCCGCCTCCTCGCCCGGCCCGCCGCGCGCCCCCCGCCGGGCCCCCGTGGCTGGCCGCTTCGCCCCTGGGGGCTGCGGGTCCCGCGGGAAAAGCGGTATCCTGGACCCCATGGCGAGCGAGGAGGAGCGAGGAGGAGCGAGGACGAGGAGGAGGACGAGGAGGAGGAGGAGGAGGAGGAGGAGGACGAGGAGGAGGAGGAGGAGGAGGAGGAGAAGGAAAAGGAGGAGGAGGAACGAGGAAGAGGAGGAGGAGGAGGTGGAGGAGGAGGAGATGGGACGGGGCCTGGCGGATCGCCATGGGGGAAGCGGGTCCCGAGGGGAACGGTGTCCTGGACCCCGGGGCCTTCCCCCGAGGGCGAGCTTCTCCCCCCTGCCGCCCTCTCCCTGCGCCGTCCGTCGTCGGGACCCCCTTAATTATCCCATGGCGAGCCACTGGAGGCCTCCCAGATGGGGTCCGAGTAGAGATGGGGTCGGAGGATCGCGCTACATCGCCGATGCATCTGCGATGCATCGGGAATGCACGACGCATCGTCGACGTCGGCAATGCATCGGCGACATCGGCGTGGAGAAGTTCGGGCTCCACATCGAGCCGCATCGCCGATGCATCGCCGATACGGCGTGACCCTCCGACCCCATCTACTCCGACCCCATCTGGGAGGCCTAAATCGACCGCTTAGGTCGGGCATGTCCCCCTACAGGTGGATTTTGCAAGACCAATGACAAATATTCAAACAATACCAGAAAATCACCGAAAAGTATAGAAAAATCGTCCCCGGACGATGTTTGACTATTCTTGAACGTTCCTCCTGTAGAGCGACACGCCCGACTTGACGCCTCGCCACTGCTTGATGGGACTGTTGTCCACCACCACCACCACCACCACCACCATAAGTTAGAGGGGGAGGGGGTCCTCCCTCCTCCTCCTCCTCCTCCTCCTCCTCCTCCTCCTCCTCCTCCTCCTCCCTCCTCCTCCTCCTCCTCCTCCTCCTCCTCCTCCTCCTCCTCCAACTCCTCCTCCCCCCCCCTCCTCCTCGTCCTCCTCCTCCTCCTCCTCCTCCTCCTCCTCCTCCTCCTCCTCCTCCTCCCCCTCAAACTCATGGCGGTGTGGGAGGAAAACCAGGCCCATCACAACTGCGCGACGGTGGCGCCCCGCGGCTCCTGCAGGCGACCATGTGCCCAGCTCCGCGCGGGGCGCTCCGCGGCGGGGCCCCGCCTTCGCCGGCGCCCTCCTGGGAGGCCGCGCGGAGGGTGGGGGGTTCGGCGGGGACCCGAGGCGGCAGGCCGCGGCCGACGGCAACGTGGTCGGGCCCCGCGGCGCGCGGGGGGGGGGCGGGCGCCGAGGACGACGAGGACGAGGAGGACGCCGAGAAGGACGAGGAGGACGACGAGGACGAGGACGGCGACCACGGCGACCACGGCAAGAACGACGACGACGACGACGACAATGATCACGCCGCCGCCGCCGCCAACAACAACAGCAATAACACTAACAATAACAAGCACATCGACAACAACAACAACAACAACAACAACAACAACAACAACAACAACAACAACAACAACCACAACAACAACAACAACACCAACAACAACCATTACAGGAACAACAACAACAACTACAACAACAACAAAAGCCATAACAACAACATCACCACCACCAACAACAACATCATCAATAACAGCAGCAACAACAACACTAGCAGTAGCAGCAGCACCAACAACAGCAGCAGTAGCACCACCAGCAGCAGAAGCAGCAAAAACAACAGCATCAGCAGGCAGCAGCAGCAGCAACAACAACAGCCACAGCCACAGCAACAGCAACAACAGCACCACCCAGTTTGAGACTGTTCACTCTTACCTGCTCACGCGCGTACGAACACGGATGCCCCAAACCCTAGATGCCCGCCCTTTTCGTCTTCGATCGTACCACACTTGGGGGTATATCTGTCTGACCTGCAACCTGTATTTCGTGCAGCCACTAGGGCACAGGAAGAGAGGACAATTCTCGAGCGATAGCACAATTCTCAAATAAATCGTAGGGAAGTTCAAAGCGCGAGCGTTATTCTTAAGTGTCGAGAGCGCGGCGTCTGAAAAAATGAGAAGATGTCCCACGAGAGAACGGGATTCCTGTATAACTTGCGAGAAGTACCGCGCGAGAGGGCGATGGCCCAGTCTGCTGGCACCCAGCTTACCCTTGTAAAAAAAACAAGGTGCGAGCCCCGGGCGAAAGACTTTGATTGAAACCATGTTCGCCGAGCAGGGGTGATAAACAGCAATTAGTCTTTAGACATGAAGCATTCAACAGCAACAACAGCAGCAACAACACAACAACAACAAAAACACCAACAACAGCACCATCACCATCATCAGCAACAACACGCAACAAGTACATCAACAACAATAACAACAACACCAACAGCAGCAGCAACACCACCACCAACAACAACAACAACAGCAGCTCAAGCAACAACAGCCGCAAAAACGATGCGTACGACGACGACGGTGACGACGACGATGATCACGACGATCACGACGACGACGACGACGACGGCGACGAGGACAATGACGACGACGGCGGCCTCAGTGACGAGGGCGATGACGACGACGACGACGGAGACGACGACGACGAGTACAACCACCACCATCACCACCACCACCACCACCAGCACCACAACACCAGCAGCAACGTCAACAACAACAACAGCAACAGCAGCAGCAGCAGCCACAACAACAGTGACGACGACGACGACGGTGACGACGACGACGATGACCACGACGAGCACGACGACAATGACGACGACGAAGACGGCGACGACGACGAGGAATACGACAATGACAACGACGGCGGCCTTAGTGACGTCGACGACGACGACGACGAAGACAATCACCACCACCACCAGAAAAACCACAACAGCTACGACAACAATCAATCTATGACTGTTCGCTCTTTTCTGCTCGACTTTCATTCAACGTGCTTTTCCAAAACCCTCGATACCTGCCCTCTTCGTCTTCGATCGTACACCTTTTAGGCGGGACAGTTTTCTTTCCTGCAGGGCGGGGCCCAACAAGAGGCGGGGCAGCCGCGGCAGAAAGAAGGATGGGCAGGGCACCGACCACGACGACGACGACGACGACCACCTCCGCAACGACGACGACGGCGACGGTGACGGCGACGACGACGACGAGCGACAGCGAGAACGAGAGCGGGGGCACGAAGGGCAGGAAGGGGGCCACGACGGTTGACAGCGGGGCCACGAAGGGCTCTACGGTTCCCATGGAATCGTGCAAGACCCTGTAAGAATCCTATAGGTTCCTCCTCTATAGGACTCCTATGGAATCGTGCAGGACTCTGTAAGGTTCCTATAGGATCCCTCCAGGGTTCCTATGGAATCGTGCAGGACCCTGTAGGGTCCCATCGGATCCCTATAGGATTCCTATGGAGCCGTGCAGGACCCTGCAAGGTTCCTATAGGATCCCTCTAGGGTTCCTATGGAATCGTGCAGGCTCCTGTAAGGATCCTATAAGATCCCTCTAGGGTTCCGATGGAATCCTGCAGGGCCCTGTGAGGATCCTATAGGACCCTTATGAAGATTCCGATGGAATCCTGTAGGACCCTGTAAGGATCCGACAGGATCCCTATAAGGTTCCTACAGAATCGTGCAGGACCCTTCAAGGATCCGATAGGATCCCTCCAGGTTCCTATGGAATCGTGCAGGACCCTGTGAGGATCTGTAAGGATCCCTCCAGGGTTCCGATGGAATCGTGCAGGACCCTGTAAGGATCCTATGGGATCCCTGATAGGCTGCCCATAGAATCGTGCAGGACCCTGTAAGGATCCTATAGGATCCATATAAGGTTCCAATGGGAACCTGTTGGGCCCTGTCAGGATCCTAGAGGATCCCTCTAGGGTTCCGATGGAATCGTGCAGGGCCCTGTAAGGATCCTATGGGGCCCCTCTAGGGTTCCGATGGAAACGTGCAGGACTCTGTAAGGATCCTAAGGGATCCCTATGAGGTTCCGAGACCCTGTAAGGATCCTATAGGTTCCTCCTTATCGTACTCCTATGGAATCATGCAGGACCTGTAAGGATCCTATGGGATTCCTATAGGTTTCCGATGGAATCGTGCAGGGCCCTGCACGGACCCTATAGGATCCCTATAGGATTCCGATGGAACCGCGCAGGACCCTGTAAGGTTCCTATAGGATCCCTCTAGGGTTCCTATAGAATCGTGCAGGACACTGTAACGATCCTATGGGGTCCCTATAGAGTTCCGATGGAATCCTGCAGGGCCCTGTGAGGATCCTATCGGATTCCCATAGGGTTCCGACGGAATCCTGTAGGACCCTGTAAGGATCCTATAAGACCCCTATAGGATTCCTATGGAATCGTGCAGGACCCTGTACGGATCCTATGGGATCCCTGTAGGGTTCCTATGGCATCGTGCAGGGCCCTGTAAGGATCCTATAGGATCCCTATAAAGGTTCTTATGGAATCGTGCAGGGCCCTGTCAGGATCCTAGAGGATCCCTCTAGGGTTCCTATGGAAACCTGTTGGACCCTGTAAGGATCCTATAGGATCCCTGTAGGGTTCCTGTGGAATCGCGCAGGACCCTGTAAGGATCCTACAGGATCACTCTAGGGTTCCGATGGAATCGTGCAGGACCCTGTAAGGATCCTATGGGATCCCTCGAGGGTTCCTATGGAATCGTGCAGGACTTTGTAAGGATCCGATGGGATCCCTATAGGGTGTTCCTATGGAATCGTGCAGGACCCTGTAAGGATCCGATAGGTTCCTCCTTATAGGACTCCGATGGAATCGTGCAGGACCCTGTAAGGATCCTATAGGTTCCTCCTTATAGGACTCCGGTGGAGTCGTGCAAGACCCTGAAAGGATCCTATAGGATCCCTAGAGGATTCCGATGGAACCGTGCAGGACCCTGTAAGGATCCTATAGGCTCCCTCTACGGTTCCGATGGAATCGTGCAGGACCCTGCAGAGGGGTGTGCCAACATGATCCTCGAGAGGGGTGTGCCATAATGAAGCCTCTGAGGAGCTCTCTGTGGAGCCAGGGCCACGATCCTCGAGAGGGGTGTGCCGAAATGGAGCCTCGGTGGAGCTCCCTGTGGGGCCAGGGCCACGATCCGTGAGAGGGGCGCGCCGAAATCAAACTTCGGTGGAGCTCCCTGTGGGGCCAGGGACACGATCCTCGAGAGGGGTGTGCCGAAATGGAGCCTCGCTGGAGCCCCCTGTGGGGCCAGGGCCACGATCCGTGAGAGGGGTGCGCCGAAACCAAGCTTCGGTGGAGCTCACTGAGCCACGATCCTCGAGAGGGGTGTGCCCAAATCAAACCTCGGTGGAGCTCCCTGTGGGGCCAGGGCCACGATCCGTGAGAGGGGTGCGCCCTTTGGGGCCTGTATGGGGCTCCGCAGCAGTCCCGAAAGGACCTGCCGAGCAACGCCGCCGGGCCCTGCAGACCCCCGCAGCGGCCTGGCGAGGCCTCGTGGCGTTGCTCGGACCAGGGGCCCTGCAGGGCCCGTGCGTGGCCCCGTGGTGTTGCTCGGGGGGGGTCGAGCGACGGGCCTCCAGTAGTGTCCTCGCGAACAACAACAACATCAACAACAACAACAACAACAACAACAACAACAACAACAGCATCAATCACAGCAACCGTAACAACAGCAGCAACAACAACAGTAACAACAATAACAGTAACAACAATAACAGCAACAGCAACGTGCCCTCTTCATGCAGCGTATATTTCGTGCAGCCCCTAAGGCAGGGGAAGAGAAGACGGATCGAAGGAACGGACAGGGTGGAGGGACAAAGCAACAACAATCATGTTAGGACTGATCGCTCCGATCTGTTCGCGGGCCACTCAATACCGAACCCTCAATACCCGCCCACTTCGTCGTCGATCGTACCCCCTTGGGGGTATATCTTCCTTACGTGCCACGCACGTTTAGCGCAGTCCCGAAAACAGGGAAAGAGAGGACGGATGGAAGTTGGAGTAAGAAGAATGGAGCACGAGAGAAATTAGCAGAAGACACCAGGAGAAGACACCACGTGGCGGCACCAAACGGGCAGATCGGGCGGGCAGACCCTAGCGGGCGGGTCGGGAAGGTGGGCCCAGGCGGCCAGGTGAAGAAGGCGGGCTGCTGAAGCGTAGGTCCTGCATGAATCGCGAAGAAGTCTCGAGCGATAGCGCGATTCCCAAGCAACTCGTGAGAAA